TTTGGATAAGTTAATTCAAATTTATTAAATTTTAAATTATTTGGTTGGATATAATAATTTGATTCTACCATGATAAAATTGTTTTTTAAAAATATATTTATATGTTGAGATTTTTAAATTAAATTTTATAAAAATAAATATTAACTAATTTTTAGTTTTTTTTATAATTTTATAAATTAATATTAGATAATATTTAATAATTTTAAAATATTTTTTAATATTCAATAATTAAAAACATGAAGAAATAAGAAATAAGATAAAATATATAAGTGAAATAAGAAAAAAAATATGAGAAATTTTAAATTCTTACTTTTTTGAAAAAATTTGAAATTTTACTATTTCAAGAAATTTTGCAAATGCTTGAATTTTAAATTCTTTATAAATTTTCCATCCAAATAAGGTATTTTACTTCAAAAAATTTAAAATTCTTCAAACAAATAAATTACTCCATTTAAATTTTTCATCCATACACACTATAAGTTCTTTTTTTTCCTCTCAAAAAAAATTTAGAATACTTTGCCACTTAACAAATATTTATAAGGGATGAAGAACACCATATAAAAAAATATCAACAAGGTCTACCATAATTGGTAAATGCTTAAACATGTTGATAGGGATTGAATTTTTAATTGTGTATGAAGAAAACTTTGTTTAAAGAGATTAAATTCACTCTAATAATTTATATTTCTCAAAAGAAATTAGTATTAACTATCGGTTAAAAGATATCTTTAATATATAAAAAATTAATTTATAATTAACATATGATAAAAAAAATCAAAAGGAATAAATAAGCACCAATCACTATAGACATTATAAACTTTAATTATTCATATAATGTCTAATATATGGTATTCTAATTTATTAATTATTATGGTATTCTAATTTGTATTGATATAAGAGATTAAAAGTAGAAGTCAAAAAATTATAAAATATAACTAGAAATATTCATATAATGTCTAATATAAATTTTTAACAGTAATAATATATTTTTTTAAAAAAATTACCTAAATAGAATGTTGCACACATTATTTACACAAGTAGCACCAAACACTGCTTATGGTCAGAATTCGATTTCCCAGAAACTAAATTCTGACTTTCACCAGGGCATTCTGTTGACGTCTTGAAGGAATTCAACTTCTGGGGAACTGAATTTCGGACAGTATTTTTTTTTCATTTTTCGTATTTATTAAATAATAAATTATATTTATAATAAAACTCAAAATTTAAATAATAATTAAATAATAAATTATATTTATAATAAAATTCAAATTTTAAAAAGTTAATAAGTTATAATGTTAATAAATAATAAATTTAATAA